CATTAAACGCTAACCTGATGTTTTATCATATGCAATTGACGAGCGTAATTTAATATTTTTCCATAGTTCATCGAAACAAACGATGTTCATTCTAAACCAAACTGGTCCTTACGAAAGTCGGTCTCTCTTAACAATAATATAGTATTTTCTTCTTTTATGATTCTATTATTTTTATTTTTAAAATTATGATAACTAATGTTTTAATTCTTCCAAACAAAAATAAAAATGTTTTCGTATGATTTTTAGTTCTTGTATTTTAATTTGTCTATGGTCTGATTGTGACTTGGAAAAGAGACGAAAACGATTCAATGTAATAGACACGAACCAAGATGGTTTTATTGACTATCTAGATTTTTTGGAGGTAAGTAGATATTTCTTGAAAATATGTTAAAAAGAACAAAAGTTTATTATAAATATAGTACTCAGATTGATTCTACTTCTTTACCCTTTTTTCTTGTGTTGTGATTTTGATTGTCTAAACATCGTTCAGATTTTAACTTAGACTAAATCAATTTCAATTTATTCTGCATCTATTTTCTTGTGACGTCAAAGCAATTACTATTTTAACGGGAATACGTCACAATTGAAGTTTAAAATAAGTTTAGTGGCGTTTCAATCCAAGAAATTTTGTTTTTTTGCTATTAATTTTTTGGTCTTTTTCTTTCAATTTTTTTCTTTCGATTTCAAGAAGTGGAACATCAACTTACCGTATAACCACAATAATCTCTGATATTCTCCTTGTTTTTGATCCCTTAAATATAAAACTGTTCCGAATATGTACGTTTCCCTACACTTCTTTTTTTATTGACCAAAAATATTTCATTACCAATCTGTATACTTATATTATAATAATTTTCGTTTTTTAGCTTATTTATTTTTACGACAATTTAGCAGACGCTGCCAGAAAAATTTCAGAACAAACGCAGTTTATAAATAAGTTATCAATTGGGGAACAGTTGGAGCACGGCTTATTTTAAAGGTAAATTTGCTAACCGTCTTAAAAATACAAATAACAATAATAGAGCTGATACAGACACATAAATGAACGAAATCTGACATACTGACAAGACTAATCTAACATTCTTTCGTCCTCTATGTTTATTGCTTTTATTTATTTTTTTTTATAATTTATTTCATTTTTCCTTATTTCCTAATTTCGCTTTCCAGAAAGGAGTGATATCATCTAGTAATTATTTATTTTATGATTTTTTCTTGTTCGTTTGTCACCGTCTCCCTTCGTTAATATTTTCTTAGAATTTTCGTGAACATTCATTCACTAAACATGTTTCAACCCACAATTTTCTCATATTTCGAACCTTTGTATACTTTTTAGCTAGATAGATAGACTCAATTATCTCTGTTTTTTTATATATCAGCTTATAGGGATGTCTCAATTATACTTGTGTTCCCATGATAGGTTTTTGTATGTAATCACAGTCCTGTAATATTTTGATAATTTCTTTTGTTGTGGTAAATGGATTAGATTATTTCTTATACTATTGTGAAGGTAATTCATCTCATATAAAGTAAGTGTCTCCTAGTAAGGGATGCAAGCATCAATACACAAATAGACAAAATAACAAAAATATACTGTGAAGATAGCATTTCCTAGGCATTTCCTAGCATTTCCAAAACAATCTGAGCTCCTTTTGAATTCCCGAATGAAGACTATTTTTATAACAAATACCAGGTTGTAAAAATCAGGATAAGGTCTTAGAATCTTGGAAGACTTATTTGGTAGATGCGCTTAGAAGTACAGAATTGCAGAGTTCGTCCATTCAAACGACGAAATTGAAAAGATAAAGGGTAAAAAAACTAGATGAAGGATACAAATTATGATTTGTAGCGCCAAATAACACTAAGAGGAGTTTTGTATAATTTTTGATAGAAAAATAAAAGATAGTAGAAGTAGTGATAAAATAATGTCAGTAAATTTTTATTTGTAGTATGACTATATTACAGGTAAGTTTGTGTATAAACAAAAAAGGAAATTAATGTCAGTTTTAGCATGAACATATATTTTTCGAGGATTTTTGGGTTTCACAAGAAAATCATTACGATGAACAAATAGGTGTGTATTTGTTCGATCATTATCACCATCATCATTCCTTAACCTCTTGCATCCACTGTTGGATATAGGTCTCCTCCATGTTCTTCCACTGTTCTTTATCTTGCGCCTTCTGTATCCAATTTCCGACTGTTTTTCTCAAGTCGTCCATCCATCTTTTTGGTGGTCTGCCTCGATGTCTTTTGTCTTCTTTAGGTCTCCATTCTATGAGTCTTTTGATCCACCTATTATCATTTAAACGTGCTATATGTCCAGCCCATCTCCATTTGGCTTGTGCAATTTTTTCTATGACATCTGTCACTTTAGTCCTCTCTCTCCCACTATCCTATTTGGTACCATACCTCTTCTAGTTATTCCCAACATTGTTCTTTCCATTTTTCTTTGGGTTACTCTTAATTTATTTGCAGAATGTTTGGTTAAAGTTATTGTTTCGAAGCCATATGTTATTCCTGGCAGTATGCATTGGTTGTAAACCTTTTTCTTTAAGCAAATCGGTAGCGTTCCTTTTAGAATACCTCGCATCTTGCCAAATGCTGCTCATCCCAAGATTATGCGACGCTGGATCTCACAAGGAAATCTGGAAATAAGGATCTCACAAGGAAATCTCACATCACTTGGAACTAAATTGGTCATGTATTTTGTTTTTTCAAAGTTTATGTTCAGGCCTATTTGTTCTATTGCCTGTTTTAGTTCTTCCATCATTTTGTGAGCTTCATTTAAACTCTCGGCTATAATGACAATATTATCTGCAAAGCGCAAGTGGCTTAAGTATTCACCATCAATATTTATTCCCCTTTTAGCCCAATCTAGTTTTTTAAAGGCATATTCCAGAGCTGCAGTGAATAGTTGGGGGGAGATGGTGTCGCCCTGTCTAATTCCTCGCTCAATTCTATATTTATCGGTAAAGTCATGGAGTTTTATTTGTTCGATAACTTCTTAAAAAAACTATTGTATACTATATATAATATTCTCTATCTCAAAACAATAAACACTTCACTTTCTGCAAGCTCGCGGTTTCACAGTGAAATTTGTACTTGATAAAGAAGTGTCTTAGATGTTACGTCTTTATTGTCCCCATCTACGAAATACAAAGTTAGAGTCTTACAAAAGATGCTATAAAACTATTATAGGCAATTAAAATGTGATGCTACCGATGTATGTTACAGGTTTCATATATAAAACATATACCTACCCCGTAAAGAACATAAAATTGGCTTACTTTGGTCACATTAAGCATAAGGGCGAGCGCTCACCAAAGTGGCGTGGCACGTAGCAAGTGGCATAGCACGTAGCAAGTGGCAAGTAGCACGCATCTAGCATGTTTCTTAAAATGTAACCAATGAAAACAAATGATTAGAATGAATGACGTCACTGCCATTTTGGTGTGCGCTGATTCATTCGTTTTCATTCGTTACATTTTAAGAAACATGCTAGACGCGTGCTACTTGCCACTTGCTACGTGCCATGCCACTTTGGTGGGCGCTCTCGCTTATAGATAATACTGGTTTCTTTAATAGATTCTATAAGGCAATATTGAGGGCAAGAGAAGCCCTGAAAGCAGAAGTATATCCTGGTTGGCCAATATTAGGAAATGGACTGTTCTAACGTCAACTGATCTATTTTGAGCTGCTGTAAATAGAATAAGATGGGTCAATGTGGTCGCCGACATTTCTAGAAGATAGGCAAATTTAGAAGAAAAAAGAAATGTTAAATGTTTGTGTGTCTGTGTGTGTGTGTATGTGTTTATGTAAGTGTGTATGTGTACATTTCAAATTAAATTTCTTACTTTTTATATGTTAGATTAGTGCATTAATAACATTATATTCAGTCACTAAATACTTTATAATTCTTAAACAGTAATTGTTTCGTTGTGAATATTTGATTGATTGTTGATCTATTATTAGAACCAATTTCCAATATATCGTGGAGTCAGTCCTCAGAGTTGTGATATATTTTCTATATATTGAACATACTACAGAATATTTTCATTTATTTCCCAATCAGTCATTTCCTTTATTTGCTTTTCTTTACTCTCGTGTAGTAATTCTATTAAGGGTTAGAATATTTCAAGTGGAACTTCGTTTTCCTATGAGCTTAGTAACTCTCCAAATTATTCAGCACATATTTCTAACTTTCCTCAGATGTAACCTATGTTTCTTTCTTAATTTTGTAATAACATTGTGTTCTTTCTATTCCGAGCCATATTCTTTGCACTTATGACATAAACTAAACATGTTTTATTAATCATATGACCTTCCATGATCAGCAGTTTTGTTTTGTTCCCCAATAATTTCTTCTATTTATAAAAAGAAAAAAACGTACGAATCGTAGATTTGAAAAAAAACGAATAAGAAGATTAAGTAAAAAATAGTCACACCAAAATAGACAAAAAAGCACGAACAATCTAGGGCGAACAAAAATGAGTTAATCGTAGAAGAAATTTATTTCAGAATTGCAAAGCAATTATCTCAAAATCAAAGAATTCAGAAACGTATATCAAAAATTATATATATATATATATATATATATATATATATATATATATATATATCTAAATCTGGGCGCGATTCTTTTCTTGAGGCAATTGGTATGGTATATATACAATAGCAACAAGAGAAAAATACTGCAAGAAAGGAAACCTGATAGCCTACCAAAAAAAAACTAGAAGAAACTTCCTGCTATAAACAGAAGTTTTCTTATCAATATAACCAACCCATATAGTACACAGACAAGTAACTAATAGTCTTAAAATATCAGTACGTAAGTTTTTTGTCAGTTAATTCGTTAACAACTCGTATAATTATTGTGAGTTTGATTAATAAATTAGTAGGTATGTAGTAAATCGTTCTTTCTCCTCTACACTGCGAAAATTTAAACACATTTCTAAAGATTTTTTATTTATTTTTATACAGAAAATGTGTTGTACCAAATTATTTGTTTCTTTCTGTTGCTTTTTAGTATAACCTTACTGTTCATGTTGTGTCTAGTCTGAGAACTCTAAGTTTCCCCGCATCCGCCATTATGCAAGCTGCATCGTTTTTCCCACCGCAATATTTAGAAGATGAAAATACTGTCAGCAATTTTCCTTTCTGATTAACCTAAAAGTGGGAGTGATATTTTTTAAAACATTTTATCAATTGTAAGTTGCACATTTTTATTGTTTAATAAAATGGTCTTAATCAATAATTCTTTAATTAGACAACAAACAACTGAATGAAGGATATAAGCCATCTGCTTAATAGGAGTGGAATATACATATAGACAAAAGATCATCAAAGAGCCACATACATATTTGGTAGAATTTTTAATGTAATATGCAGGTGCACAAATTGTTTTATTAAACATAGTCATGAAAGAAAGATAAATCTATTTTTTTAAAATAAATAAAGATTCAAAATATATTGGCATTTGAGGGTCTACCGTAGGATTTTGTGCATGCCATGGATCACAAATCTCATAAATAATTCAATACTAGTAGAACTTAATATAAAAAATAGTCTCACCACAACTACCAACTAAAATATACTAAGATATTTTGGATTTATAACTAGAAGAAGAGAAGGCTATAGTCAAACGAATTACAGCCACTACATTTTTACGAAGGAGAAAAGATAGAGAAGAAGGTGGAGGATTCAACAAAATGATGAGAACTGTTACTGGGGCAAAAAGAAAACGAAGATGACATGGAATCTGACGTATGGCTGTATGAAAAACTGTATGGCTGTATGCAAACTTAACAAATATGTACCTGAAAACCAGCCTGTGCAACTTCATGAGCTCGTACGAAATGAGTCAGTTGATTCGCTTTCAGGAACCTCTCCAATGCTTCCACGCTAAATACATGAGCTGTGCCTCTTCTCGTATTCACAGCAAAACCTTCGTTGGCAAGCAATTCCATAGCTAATTTGTCATTAAGTGCTTTTGGTCTAAAATACGATAATGGAACTCTTAATAATAGTGTAATAAACATATGGGTGCTAAGATGATTAGTTTTATTTTTTATATACTGGACTAATCAGGTATAAAATCCAAAAGTTGTGTTAAAATTTCACGAAGATGTCCAGATTTTAAGAGAAACTAGAAACCAACCAATTACTCTCGGTCTTAACTTACTGACCTATTTCTAAGCAGGTGCAAAACTTTTTCCTGACCTCATTACAATTGATTTAATTTCAAACTCAAATACGGAAAACGATCTCGAAGGCTAACGAATACAATGTAATAACGAGAGGACAACGTCGATGGGGTGCGGATTAAAAGTTTTTTTTGAATAAAAAGGGTAAAAACTTTGTTATAAGAGTTTTGTCAGACGTCGTATACAAAAAAATATATGTGAGATGTATTGTTTGGATTTCAGCGAATTTATTTTTATTAGATATACTTAAACAATAATAAGTTAGTTTTTATACTTTCTATTATTCTGTTTACCATTAAATAGATTGTTTTTTTTTAATCATTGCTTAAAAGTTTGAAAACAGATTCTCAAAACTACAGCTAAGAAAAATATTATTAGCAAAAAAGCTTGGTTTGAAGAGAAATGTGTAATAACTAAAATTCTGCAAGAGAAGCACGATTTATTCAACTTATACAAAAATATAAAAGAGATTTCTGGAATACGAAATAAAAGGTCATACAGCCTTGTAAATAAAGAAGAGAACCTTATCATAAAAGATATAATATAAATTATATAAATTATTATAAAAATTATTTATCATTATCATCATCCAGCCTCAAAAGTCTACTGCTGAACATAGGCCTCTTTCTCATGTTTCCAACCTCGTCTATCTTGCGCCGCTCTTATCCAGTTTTTATTGAGTCTTCAGTCCATCTTGTAGGTGGTCGACCGACGCTTCTCTTGTCTTCCCTTGGCCTCCATTCCAATAACCTCTTTGTCCATCGCCCATCTGTCATTCTGGCTATGTGTCTTGCCCAGTTCTATTTTATTCTGGCTATCTTCTCGATGATGTCAGTCACTCCGGTTCTTCTCCTGATTTCTTCGTTGGTTATTCTGTCTCGCAGAGTTATTCCTAACATGGACCGCTCCATTCTTCTCTGCGTGACTCTCAGTTTGGTAGCTGCTGCTTTTGTTAAGGTAATTGTTTCTGCTCCGTACGTCAAGACTGGGAGGACGCAATGATCATATACCTTTCTCTTTAGGCATGTGGTCAGCTCACTTTTACAAGTTTCTCTCAGTTTTCCAAATGCTGCCCACCAAAGGCCGATTCTTCTCTTCAGTTCATGAGTTTGGTTATCCCTGCCAATTATAATTTTATGTCCCACGTATTTATATCTATCTACGAGTTCTATTTCTTTCCCACCAATACTGATGTTCTGGTTGGGTACCAAATTGTTCATGATTTTTGTTTTCGAGATATTTATATTTAAACCTACATTTTCTGTAGCCACAACTAGTTCCTGTACCATCTCTCTTGCCATACCTAGATCTTCAGCTATTGTAAGTATATTATCGGCGAAACGTAAGTTGTTTAGATATTCTCCATCTATTTTTATTCCCTTTGTCATTCAATCCAAATTCTTAAAAGCATGTTCTTTGATCAAAATGATGGGAGATGAAGTAAAATAATTGGCCAACTTGGGAATATTAGAGCAAATAGATGCTAACAGCACTGAATTGATGCCAGTGGGAAGTACAAGACTAATCCCGTGTCCAAAAATAAAAGAATAATTTAAGACTATTTTAATATTGGAACCAGAATGAACAAAAAATGAAATGTTTAAAAAAATTAATCTAGGACATTTAATTTGGTCTTTAAGTATAGAAAACTGAACACTATGGAAAACTGAAAGAGAAAAGAAACTAGTTGGACTTTTAACCTTTAAGAAGAAATACCTTAATATTGATTCGTACCTTACAGGATCATTCCACATCAGCTCCCATGCCAACGAACTCTGCACATCGGGTTGGTTAAGAGGTACGGGGATATCATTGATAGCTGTTATAACGGGACAAAGCCAAGGTGGCGGTACTCCTCCATGGCAACAAAATACCTAAAACTTACCTCTGTGTGAGAATAACTCAACTTAACATAACGTACATTTCCGTCTGTGGTAACAATGATTCAATTTAACATTACGTACCTTTCCGTCTATAGTGGCAGCTATAGGCATTGTATCAAATGCATTATTTGAAGCTGTCCAAACTTCGTTACCTAATTTCTCGCCAAATTTAAGACAGCATTCTCTAAAAATGGAATCAATGGCTTATTTATAGAAACTACTTGAGTATTCTTAGTAGGTGGATTAGACAAAAATTTACAATATATGAGAGACAAGCAATTGAAACAATTTTGGTTATATCGTTAGAATGTACATCTACGATTGTATAAAAAATAAATGGACGGATTGAAAAATTATACAATGGAGATGTTAAAGAAAACAAAAAAAAACTACAAGAGAAGAACGAAAAGATAGAGAAAGAGTCACATAGGTAAACCTACAGCAAAGTTTATATAAAATGGAAGAAAATAGATAAATATGATGACAACAAAAGCAAAAATAATATTTTTGTGTTCATATTCTCCCAAATATGGATGGATGAAGTGAAGAGAAGTGAGAGAAGATATATAAAAACAAATTCCAATAAATCTGAAGGGAAAATTCTATAAAACAGACAAATGAAAGAATTGTTTATAAGGGGGTCGTCACTAGCTGCAATAATATTTTGGATAAATTTATTAATTTGATTAATACTAATAGAATTTTTAAAATAAATTTAGTTAGTAACATACTTGTAAAAAGTAAACATCTTTTGAACCTCACGAATTTCATGATTTCCTCGCAAGAGATTCACTTTATTGGGACTCTGCAGCTTGTATGAGAATAAATACGCAATAACTTCAAAGCTGAAAGCACCTGAAACATCGTGGAATTTTAATTTGGTTGATGTCGGAGAAACGTGTATATGACGTATATGGTTGCAGACAAAAATATTGCTTTTAAATAACTGTTGAAAATAATCAAAAATAGCAGAAATGTTCGATAACCACATTAAATAAAACATTGATAGCATGAGTTTAGTGAAATCTATTTTGCCAATATGTATAAGCATCATTTAGTAAATTATTTCAAAATTCTCCTGAGTGGTTTTAAATACACATACAGATTCTGCTGATTCCCGCATTTCAATTTCTACCTTTTTCGGTCGGTCAATTTCTCCCCATTAAACTCTCTGTCTCTCGTTATTCCATTGATTCCTTCTTTGTATTCTAATGTTGGTCTTTTTCTCCTTCTATTATATGAAACATCGTTTATTATCTGTTTTGGCTATCGTTCGTCTTTCCATTGTATTGAATATCCGTACCATAAAAGCTGTTTTGATGTTATTGTATTTACGGTATTGTAAATTCTTCCTATTTTTCTTCTTGTTTCTTCATTTGGGATCTGATCAAATCTGGATATTTGACACGTTCTTCATAGGTAGTAAATTTCTACCACTTTCAAGTATTTTCTTGTCGGTCTCTTTCTTTATTCTTTATTCTGATTTCGTAAGGTTAACTCTCGAATCATGTAATCTAAGTTTTCTTCTTTGTTTGCCATAATCACTTGATCGTCTGCCAAGAAAACATTTGTTATGTACTTATTCTCCAGTTCTGAATAATTCTATTTTAACTAAATTCTAAAAATCTATTTAGATTTTGAATAGAGCTGGACATAAAGAACATCTTTGTTTGAAGTCTTTTGTGATAGGAAATTTTATTCAATTTTAATGACATCTTTTGCATGTATGTACAACTGGTTCCTAAAAAACTGATACGACTTTTTTTTTTCTGTAATATGGCTTTGGAAGAGCCAATTAGCCAGACTTGTTTGTCTTTATTGTTAAAATTGACTGAATTTTAATTATTCGTGATTGCAGATTCATAGTCAAAATTTTCTTGTTATACGTTATCAATGTTAGTACTACATATACCTAATATTTATACATAAATAATTATATTTTGATATATTTTTTTTGTTTCTTTTTTTTATTCTCTTATCTATTATCTTCTTTTTTTGTTTCCGCTTTTTGTTTTTTTTTTTTGTTTGTTTTTTTCAAACCATATTAACAGATTATGCCTATATACTATTTACAACTTGTATTTACACATTTTAACATGTTTGTAAATGCAATTAAGAATTTCCATATTATTTGAAAATAATAAAAGATTAAGGTTCATTGGAAAACAACACTTAGAATTTATTAATTCCTTATAAAGTTCGTTTATATTATTATTTGTAAATCACATTCTAATATAATATGTGTTAGATCGCCTATTCTGCCACAAGTATAATTGGGAGTATTTGATAAATCATAAAGTGTATTTTATAGGATAAATACATATTATTTACATACTGTCACTGTCACTGCCAAATCTTAAAATTTGTCTTCTTCTTCTTCTTCAAGTGCCATCTTCGTTCCGAAGGTTGGCGATAATCAGGGCTATACGTATTTTCGAAACTGCTGACCAAGACAATTCGTTGTTGCTGCAGCTATACCATTCCCGTAGATTCTTTAGCCAGGAGTTTCGTTTTCTTCCTATGGACCTTTTTCCTGTTATTTTCCCTTGCATAATTATTCGAAGCAGTTCATATCTTTCGCCTTTGTAATGTGTCCCAAGTATTGCTGTTTTCGATTTTTGATCGTAAATATGACTTCCTTTTCTTTATTCATTCTTCTCAAGGCCTCGACATTTGTGACTCTCTCGGTTCATGATATTCTGAGGATTCTGCGATACATCCACAGTTCAAATGCCTCTAATTTTTTGGTATCAATCTTTTTCAACGTCCATGACTCCATTCCATAGAACAAAACAGAAAGTACGTAACATCTCATCAGGCGAAGTTCCATTTCAATGCTCAAATCTCTTCCGCAGACACTCTCTTCATTTTAGTGAATATGGGTAGCTTTTTCTATTCTTATTTTGATTTCTGCTGAGCTATTATTGTTTTCATTTATAAAAGTGCCTAAATATTTGTATTTGCTAACTCGATCGATAATTTCATTGTGTAAATATAAATTTTGGACATTTTGTGTTGATTTCGATATTACCATAAATTTAGTTTTCTTTATGTTCAAAGATAGTCCATATTCTTCGCTGCAGTCTGCTATCTTATTCACCAATGTCTGTAGCTCTTCAAGTGTTTCTGCGATCAGAACGGTGTCGTCGGCAAATCTCAGATCGTTTAATCTAACACCATTTATTTTAATACCTACGGATTGCTCAGAGAGTGTTCTATTCATTACGTCTTCGGAATAGAGATTAAACAGGGTTGGTGACAGTATATACCCTTGTCTCACACCTCGCTTTATTTCAATTTCTTCAGTGATATTATTCTCTACTCTACTACTGCTTTCTGATTGTAGTACATATTTGCTATTAGTCGGATGTCTCGTTTATTCTTTTATCTATCAAAATTTGTCAGATAACTTATTCTGTTCTACATTAAAAAATGGCTCCTCATGCTAGCAAAGCATAAAGCAAGAATTGTAACGAAATAAGAAGATGGTTGGTCACTATCTACCATAGCGCATCATTTTAACGTAAGCAGTACAGCAGTTTTTAATAATAATAAAAAATGTGAGAGAACAAGAGACACTAGAAAGAAAGCAAGGTTCTGGAAGACCAAAAATATCTACCGCTTATGAAGATCGTACGCTTTTGGAATGATTAGAAGAGAATCCTTTTGAAGATGCGAAAATTGTATGAATTATGTCACAGTTTACCGAAAGAAAGACAACAATTGGTGCAGAGAATTAAAGTATCGCGTCTTGAGTACCAAACTGCAGCAAAAAAAAACAAACTCTTACATCACAACAGAAGTAATCAAGACCTATATTTGCTTTAAATCATCAGCTACAAAATCAAGATTTTTGGGACCGGGTAATATTTACAGATGAGAAATTTTTTCAATCTTCTAAAATGAGCAGAATTGGGGTGTATAGACCAGAGAATAATAGATTTAATCCTCTTTATGTTGATAGATATCGAGCAACTGGTCATTGTAACAGCGCCAATGTATGAGGATAAATTTCATCTAGAGGAATGGGAATTGTATGGAGTATTGATGGCAGGTTTGTTGGGCAGACTTCTCTGAATATTCTAGAAAACATCATGTTTTCCAGTGTAGAACCGTTGTATCCATAAAATAATTTTATTCTTCAACAAAATAATTGTCATGTTCTCTTTGTCAACCATTTTCCATCCACTCCTGAATGTAAGTCTCTCCCAATTGCTTCCATCCTTCTCTATCTTGCGCCAATCTAATCCACTGTTTGCCTGCCACTGCTCTTTCTTCACACTGCAAATATATTAAACCAGTGGTTCCAAAATAGCAACATCAAAACCTTACTATGGCCCAGCTACAGTTCAGATTAAAATCCAATCAAGAATATGTGGGGGGTTGCTATAAAACGGTTGTACCAGCGTAATTTTATACCTCAAAATGCTAAAGAGCTGTAGCACGCTATACAACAGGATTGAAAAGAGCTCTCTGAAGAAGACAATTTCATAGTTAAAATGTTTTGCTGTCTCTGATAGTGCCCAGTTATCTATTAATGTGTACGTAGTAAAGATGTGGTATCTAATGGTACCAAGAACTATGCGAAAAGCTTCGTAGGCAAAATTACTGGTTCACACAAAAAAGGAATAATTAACTTAAAATTAATTGCTTTTATACCAAAAGTGAGACAATTTTTTGACAGATCGAGAGCACTGTGTAAATGTGTGTGTTGGAAGATGTTACTTTGACCTCGCCCTACTTAGCTTTGAGGGTAAGCGAGTGCCAGGTGTAAGGGGAGTGTTTTTGAAAATTAGATATGTCTTACACTTACTGTATAAAAGAAACATACCAATCAGTATTATACAAACCATCGAAAATATCTATCTCCATAATCGAATACAGACAAAGATAAATGGAAAACTAACACAGTGTATGCCAGTATAAAAGGAGTCTGACAGGGTGACTCGTAAGCTCATTTCTCTTAAATATAATAATGGACGAAATAATACAAACAGTACTTAAAGGTCATGGCTACAGAATGGGGAACAAAGAAATCCAAATATTATGTTATGCAGACGACGCCACATTAATCTCCGAGACCGAAGACGAGCTCCAAAGATTAAAACACATCTTTAATACAACAGCCAAGAAATACAATATGATAATACAGTAAAACCTCCGTTAACCGAAACATCGTTTAACCGAAACGGCTGACAGTTTCAATAATTTCGTCAATACAACATAAATTTTTATCGCAAAATGAAAAAACCTCGTCAGCATTGCTTTCAACTAAAGCATGCAAATTACTCTAGTTATTACTAATTATGTGTTGTATCGGTATCAATTACCCACTTATCGGTATCAATTTCTCACTGTCTCACTTTTATGACACATTTAGATTGCAGGCGGCCGTATCTCATTCCTTCTTCTGTTCATTGATTCAGTATAATACTTGTTTGTGTGCTACTTACTTTAATTTCATTAAATCGTCTGTTGTGTGTCTTGTATAAAAATGTCAAATAAAAGGAAACGTGTTGTGATTGCGATTGAACAGAAATTAGAGGCTATCCGAAGGATTCAAAATGGAGAGATTTTACGGACAGTCGCAAGAGATTTTGGCGTTGGCGTTTCTACAGTTTCCGACTGGGTCAAAATGAAAAGCAAATTTGAGGAACATGCTTCGAAAATGCCAAACAAAAAAACTATGAAACTAAGTCAAAATGAGAAGGTCAATGAAGCTGTCTATTTGTGGTTCACACAACAAAGAACCAAAGGAGTAGCATTATCTGGACCAATAATTCAAGAGAAGGCAAAAATGTTATCCGAAATGATGGGCGATGAAGGTGAAGGTTTTAAAGCAAGTTCAGGTTGGC